GTCTACACTAAAATAGCGTACTTTGGACTAATAGACTGAGTGTGAGTGAGGGCAGACAGAGACAGTCACTGTGTTTTGAACAGAAATTGCGAAAACAGATAAGGTTAGGGAGAGAAATGCCAGAGTGTTATAAAAAAACAAGCAGGAAATCTTGTACATATTGCATGTTTCCGTTTGGTTCCATCTCCCAGGGCCACTGTGGCTGCTTCCTGATGTGGTTTCCATTATTTATCCAGCATCTATTGGACAATATTGGAGCCGACTCTCAGCTCTGGTGCCATATTGGCAGCAGGACAACGGAGTGAGCAACAACAACGGAAGTGAAAAGGAAGAAGCTGCAGTGTTACTGCCCATTCAGTCTGGATTGAATCTATGTTTGCACAGTTAGAGATTCATGAGAATGCTGGATTCATCAAAGTCTGGTGTTGTCATTTGGCAACGCTCAACACTACCTGTTTCTAGCCCTCCTGAAAACGCACCTTCTTGTTTATTTAGCTGTTGTTCGACTGTTGACAATGAAATTAAGCTAAATCCCACAAAGAGCAGCAACCTGCCGGAGCAGTACAGCACGTACAATGTATCAAATGTTATAAATTTTCCTTCTGCCATGGAAGACACACAATATGGGATGTACATGAGATTACTCACCTGCCAAAACCAAACAATAGCTAATGTATCTCTGGTTCAAATTACATTTACCATAGGGTGTCATCTCTAAGCTGTTTAATGCATTGTGGGACGAAGGGCTTTAATCAGCAAGGCTCAGTGGAGCCAGCGGATTAAATCACTTTTTATCTGCACTTCCTTTGACTTTCCCAGAGCTCAGGGTTGCAGTGTAAATCATAATGCGTCCCTGTTGGGCTCACTTCAGTATGGTTTATTGCTATAGTAACATTTCATAAATTCCATTTATTTTGTGTATTGAGTAAATCCACATCCACTGAAAAACAAGGATAACTCTTTATTCTCACCTCCAACCACAAAGTTGGTCATTTCTCAGAAAGAAGAGTTTGTGTCTATGTGAGTGTAGAAGTCCATCTATCTGTGTGTGTGTGTAACCTATGTACTTTCACATACATGCACAGCATTTCTGTGTATGCGCACTGTTGCATATAAATAAACAGTATGAATCTATGTCTTTAGGTGAAAAAATATATCCACATCGATGCATGTGCACCATGCATGTACGGAGCATGTGAATGACTTTGCATCTGTGTGTGGTCGTATGCACATTCACAGTCGGCAACACCGACGGAGAGAGCTGCCGCATTGCACAGAATAGCTAAACAGCTGTAGTGCTCCATCAGGGCTATCGATCATGTCCCTCTCTCTGAATCACAATCAGACGTGGGCAGAGCAGAGCGGCTGGAGCAGGCCTCTGTGACTGGCTTGTTGGACGAAAGCTACGCACCTCTCATATCAACCAGGCCTCACCAAACAAACCTGAGCTGTATAGCTGATTAGATGAATCTATATGCTAGTGCCGTAGCACTACTTACTTTCTCTAGAACTAGCTGGAAAGCACGGACACGTGTTTTATTTAAGTTCCTGGCAAGCACTGCCTTTTTTTCCAGCGGTGTGTTTTATTGCTTATAAAGAATATACCAGTGTCTATCTTGTTTATGGCACTAACTACTTATGTTATGGTTATAAATAATGTCTGATCACGACAAGTATTGAAATAACACCTAGCATACTAACTGAAATACAAGCTGACTATGAGTAACAGTTACATTAATTAAAAGTGCATTAAACCCTATACTGTATATAAATAAGACAGACTAGTAAACAGTAGCAAATCTGGCATTATTTCATTAAAAACCTAACAGTAAGAATAGGGAAGATGTTTAAGTATCATTAGCTGCCATCTGTTATCATCTCCCCCAAACTGAACATCTCATGTAATCACAAGGAAGTTAGATGTTATTACATTAAAACAGGAAGTGTATGGAAGCTGTCTATGGCACCGTTAACTGCCATCTGTTAGTATCTCCACAATCTCCTGCTCTGTATGTTCCGCCTCTCTGTGTCGTTGTGTTATCTGCAACTCAACGTTAACTTCCTGCCAATATGGTGACTTCCTTTCCTTTCATTTTCAAGTGGTCAACAGAATTTAACAGATGACCCGGCACATGACATCCACATATTTACTTCCTGGTATGGGACAGCAAGGTTACAACTCAATATCCTTTTGTATTGCCACTGGACACACCTGAGTAGAGAAGGGCCACTATAAAAAAAGCCCATCACACACACTCGCATACACACACACCCACATTTCTTGACACAGTGACAGTGTGATTGAGTGGCTAAGCTGGAAATGCAGAGGCTTGTCAGATATGGGCTTGACAGGATTGGTGAGCAAGCTTGGGGCAATGAGAAGAGGGTGTGCATGTGTATGTGCATGCATGCATGTTGAGAGTGTTGTGGTGCGTTTGTGCAGGCGTGTGTGTGCTAGCACAGCTACTTTGTGTATTTTTGTGGGTTATGCTTCAAACGCTAAATGGTGGAAAAAAGGGATTTCATTAGAATTATATGGATGTTGACATTCCATTCAGGTCAAAGTTAGTGGTGCATGACTGTATCTGTGCCTGTGCGTATGTGTCAAGGTTCACACAGTGTAGTAGTCATGGATGTCACATAAGCATACCCATGCTTGTGCACACGCACAAAGACACACACAACGCGCACACACACACACACACACACACACACACACACGCTCCTGCTGTGCTGTGTGTGGCAAGGGCCCCCTGGGGGGTGCCGCAGAGCTGTCAAAGCAGGATGGATGAAGAAGCTGCCCTGCATAGCAAGGGGCTCTGGGGAAATACCACCAACACGACACACACATAAAAACACACACATAAGCTGACTCTGTTAGCACACAAATACAGTGTTCACAATTTAAAATGCATACATTTGAATATGCACAGATGATCCGAACATATAAACAAATACCAATCAATATTGGTAAGAACACCTAACATGCACACCTGTATACACACACACACACACACACACACACACACACACACACACACACACACACACTGCTTGTGTGGGAAACAGAAACAGCCATGGGGTCCTCCGCAGAGGAACATCTGAGTTTGATAACAACGAAATGTCCAGAGATCTCCATTCAGCAGAAAGCAAGTCAACATGGAGAGTGTCAGAAAGCAGGAAAAAATATGAAAAATCAAAAACTATGGGAAAAGTATCAAAGGAATGACAGAGTGAGCCTTTATCCATCTGTATTTATGAGGGGAAAAAGCACCAATGCATGTAAATGCATAAAACAATAAACAAAACAATTTTTTAGTATAATTTTGGTGTTGTCTTATATGCTTTGGACATAATTCCTACAAGGTAATACTACTATTGTAGTCACCAAGTTTATTTCTGAGATTTGGTAATGAGGCTTCATCACCAAAAAGACATCTCCAACTTCAACTTGCGTGCACAGTTTTCATGTGCAAAGATGGGATATATTTTAGATTATTTACCTCCAAATAAAGTAGCTTAGACAATCTAGACAATCTAGATAAACTGTTGGCTTGTTCACAAAAAAGTTGTAACAAACAGAGGCATTGATTGTCGTATGCATTACCTCAATTTACAAATGGCAACAGCACAAGGAACAATAATAGCTTTTGCAACAGTCAGTTGCGTGCACACACAAACATACATCAATGAAAAGGGGGGATTTCATGGACCCTTTAGGAGGGACCATAGTAGCACCAGACCAGAGCAGACCTTGTAAACTTAACCATTCTTAATTCCCCAGAAGGATTTCCTCGATCAGGGCAGTAAATCTCCATGCTTGGCAAAAGCCTGAACAATCCATTAACAATAATAAAGCCTGAGCGGCCGGGAGATAGACCCTTAAAGGGGAAGGTCAGCCTGATATTACAGCTTTAAAGGTTTCCTATTACGGCTCAACTTCAATATAACCACTCACCTTCCCTTTAATGGCCGCTGGCTATGCAGTGGCTGAGCATATATGGAGATTCTAAATCCAGTTTCTCTGAGATATTACTCGATAGTGGAGAGCGATTTCTGGGTCAGTTTCTGTGCCGCTGGTTGAATGTGTGAGTATTGTTAATAAAATTGCCACAGAGGTGAAGGACATCTCCTCAGTATGGCCCTGTCTGGCCCCCACGTCCTGCTGGGACAGGAGGGAGGCTGCGAGCGCTGCAGCACCTGGCCCCAAGTGCTTAGGCAGCATGTTTTTTCTTCATCCTGGCCTTTCCCTCTGGCTCTGTCTTTCATATCTTTACTCTCATTCCACCTCACTTTCCTTTTTGCAACCACCTTTTGTCACCCCTACTCCTTCTAGACTTGCTCTGTTTCCGACATTTCCAGTGCTTTGTCTCCTTTTGTTTTAAACTTTTGGGACAGAGATGCCACATTGGACAGCGAATAAAAGACACATTTCTGTGCTAACCCAGAATGCGGTACAATGCTGTCTCTACATCTGTCTCCCTTCTGCGACTTCCTTTTTTTCAACCTCTTTTCCCTGCCTGTTTTCTCCTTGGCCAGCTTGTTCCACTGTCTAGGGTGACTGCAGGAAAGAGAGATAGGAAGGAGAGAGGACATGGAAACAGAGAGGAGAGAGGGGAGAGTGCAAGCTCTTAAGTAGATTGCAAAGAACAGCACAGAGGCATGAGTGTGAATATTAAGAGGGTTTTCTCCTGCCCAAGAAGCTCCAGCCTGCAGCAGCAGCACCACCAAGGAGGGAGAGAGATGGTGACAGAAAGAGAGACGGAGAGGAAGAGGCCTAACAGAACCGTCAGCTATTCAGCCATATCCACGACTGCTAGCTTCAGGTGTCAGAAACAACGGTGTACACAATCTATCAAGCTGTCCGGCAGATCTGAGATGAGAAATTACCATAATTGAATTAGAAAGGAAGTTTCTCATTTCAAAGGTGATGATTTTCCAAGAAAGAAAGGAACAGGGTGATGCGAGAGTAATGTAAAGCAAAGGAGGGGGGGACTCACCTGGAATGCCTGGCGGGGTTTTCAGGTATTTTCCATTGAAGTGCTGTATCACTACTTCACATTTCTCTGTGGACTCCATTCTGCAACGAAAAGTGACACATCTATCGTCATTAGAAATCAAAATACTTAACCTCTACATTGCACGGTTAGTAATGACTCTGGTTTCCAGAGTGGAAGAGAGAGACAATACAGGAAGCTGACTGACTTAGCTTCCCCTTCTTCAGCCACTGGATGAAATACACATGGGCCGAGCAGCTGACCAGAGCTCTGATTTCTCATGTCATAAGCACACAGACACTAATACATGTCAAAACACTTACATAAGTATGTTAAACACATAAAAATGCACAAATGTATTGTATGTTGGCACGCACACACATATATTTTATCTTTGCACTGTGTTGTGAGGAAATTACGCTGATTTCAGAGCCCTGAATTTAAAATTCAAGCTGTGAGCCATGTACGCTGTCCCAATCATCACAGGCACACAGGCATAAGAAAAACTGTCACCAGATGTTAACTCCACATCAGTTTCTTTACCTCACCATAGTGTGGTAACCATGACTATAATGAAAACTTACTCCTACAGTAGCTCCTTACCTATAAAGATAGGACCTGTATTAAAACATATACAAATAGTCCGATAATATGTGGCTGAGATGTTTTGTTTCCGGGTGGCACGGTGGTACAGTGGTTATCGCTGTCACCTCACAGCATTGCCCAGGCCTTTCTGTGTGGAGTTTGCCTGTTCTCTCCGGCTTCCTCCCACCGTCCAAAGACATGCGGACTAGGTTAATTGGTGACCCTAAATTGTCCTTAGGTGTAAATTCCAGAATCTATAAATATGCAAATTGTTATCATTTCTAAAAAGTTACTGCTGGACACACGGTGAACACACTGTGAAGTTCATTCTAAGTGTATGTGCACTGGTGCATTTAAGGGTCTACATCACACTTGTATTAGTTGCAAATTGGACCAGGATTGGCTTTTAAACAATTTGTGATGTCATAAATCATGCTTGTAGGCTCATCCCTTAAAAGCAGATTTTCACATCAGGACTTTTAATTACTATATTATCAACTGACAACACAAAAAGTCTACAGTTATCCCATCTGCTCTGTGAGGCTGCATGCAGTGGTGCTTTGAGTTATATGCTAACATGTTAACCTGCTCACAATGACTGTAAGCTAAAGGTTAACATGCAGATGTTAACCAGGCATAATGTGTACCATGTTTACTAAACAAGTACAACAGAGGCTGATGGCAATGTCATTAGTTTGGCAAGTATTTAATCATAAACCAAAGTATTTGACAAATGGACATTTTGACCAGATGACAGTGCTACAGGAATAGTCAGGGGATCACCAAAGTTATTACAATTCATCCTGAGGGGAACATGAATGTGTATACCAAATTTCATGGCACTCCATCCACATTTTGTTGACAAATTTCACTGAAAACTAAGAACGTGAACCTCATGGCAGCGCAAGAGGAAAAGTTAGGGGATCACCAAAGTCATTATAATTCATTCTTTGTGGAAAATTACTTCCTGCATAAAGTTGTGTGCCAACCCATCCAGTAGACGTTGAGATATTTACACTGTATAAGTTAAAACTTTTACATGCTGGTAGGGCTACATTGTGTTTGTTTCCCCAAAATTCAAGCTCTTTTGGTACTAATTGGGCTGTCAAATAATACTAAGCTGGCTGCTAAGAATCTTAATATTAGAATCGTAATATTTGATGCTGATTTTTATCTCCTCCCGCCTTGATTACTGCAGTGCACTTTATTCTGGTGTAAGACAGGGCTCCCTCCACTATCTCCAGCTGGTACAAAACGCTGCTGCTCGACTTGTTACTGGGACAAAGAGGCACATTCATATCACCCCTGTGAAATGATTTTAAAATTTTATTACCCATATTTAAGGACCTTCGTCCTAAACACATCTCTGATTTATTGACCTGGTATGTGCCCTCTCCACCACTGAGATCTCCAGACCGAGCCCTGCTGGTTACTCCCAGGTCTCAGTTGACAGAGGGTGATCAGGCTTTTGCTATTAGAGCCCCCACACTATGGGACTCTCTGCCTACTTAACGTAGAAGTCTCTAGCTTCTTTTAAATCTCTAAAACATTTCTCTTTTTGAAAGCTTTTGGAAATTTTTGATATTGTTTTTACTGTTTTTATTCCTTTTTATTTACTCATTTTAATCTCTTTACTTCCTCTTTAATCATGTTCTTTGGCCTCGTTCTCATTTTATCTGCCTTGTCTGGTTTATTTCTTTTCGTAAAGCACTTTGTTGTTAAGAAAAGTGCTATATAAATAAAGTGTATTATATTATATTATTATTATTATTATTATTATATTACAGGAGTCAGGGTAAAGTCATTAGGATTCATCCTCCAGCCATCATGGATATCTGTACTGAATATTATGGCAATCACATCAAGTATAAATTAATATAATAATAAGGGTAAAGAAAAATTAGGAATGCTGTTTTTTTTACTGTCCATCGCATCATTATTATTATTACTATATCATACTTTTTCCTATATATCAAACATTATCATGTTAGGTTACAGTATCAAAAAACACATAGCCTCACATGAATTTTCACCTAGTTTATATACGGTATGTTACCATGCAGATTCTTTAATATACACTCACAATGGACTCATATTAAAATGCAGGCTTGAGTGACTCCTATGCCTATGGTAATATGCTCTTGGAATGTGCAGAATTCATTGCTTTCCAGATTTTCATGCTTTATTCGCTCTCCCCTCCAAGAATACTTATATCATCCTGTCAACCTCTCACTTCTCTGTCCTCCGTCTCTCATCCTTCTCCTATCTCTACCTTCATCTTTCTTTTTTTTTTAACCATAGCTTCTTTATCGCTCTCCCCGTCCCATCCATCTTACTCCCGGCCCGTCTGCACCTCTTCTTTTTGACGTCTCTCTCATTCCTCCCCGTCTTTCAACCTTGGTTATTTCCTCCATCTTTCAGTGTTACCCTCGCTCTCTCCCGCCCCATCTCTCTCACTTTCCGTGCCCTCCTTTCCTTCCTTCTCTGTCCATCCTTTTGTTTCTCCGCTACACCCTATCCACATCAACAATCTTTCTCCCTTTTCCTCTCCGTACTTCTCTTTTTAGAATATGTAATCTTTTTTCCACACTTCCTGGCATCATCCATCTCTCACTGACCCAGTATCCACCCTTTTCCCCATCTCTCTTTCTTCTTCCGCTTAACCAGCCACTGTGACTTAGCTGATTACTAATCATGACAACTGGTCTTTAAAAACACAAAGCACTGTCATTCAGCTGATTCAAAGAGTATGTATATATGTAATACGTGTTTATGGTTTGAAATTTTTTTATAGTCCTCAAATGTTCTAAAGGTCTAAACACAAACAGCCATAAATGAACTATGTCTAAATACATTGGTCTAAAATTTATAAAATTATGATTGGATCAAAGAATTAGTAAAAGAGAGTAATACAATGAAGCAGTCTACGGCTGCTTCCAGTAACTGAATGCATTCAATACTCAGTGCTAAGGACTCATTTCCCCCAAACACCACCCTGTCCTTCCCTCCCAGGAGAAGAGCTTATTCAAACAGTTCATGCAACATTTTTGCTTCTTTTTTTCCCTCACTTTAAGAGTTTAGTCGTTTTATTCCATGTAGTATATCATAACTTGTTTTGTATGTATAATTCATTTTACTCGTTTGTGAATATGCTTTGGCAATTTCTTTTGATGAAAGCATCATGTCTCTAAAGCTTTATTGAACTGAAATAAATATACAGTGTGTTTATGTTTACATATAATCTGTATGTGTGCACACATTCATAATAATGCTCCTAATCCATGTTCACACACACAACTGCACTAAACATGCCAAAAACCCCTCATAATGCTTTCACTTTAGAAGGCGGTGAGGATCTGCATGAAGCATGGCTAACCTCTTTATCTCTTTTGCTCTCTTTCACTAAAGCCTAACAACCCTGTACAGGGTACACACTCAACTTAGTGCTTCTGAAATAATAGTGTATGTGGCTGTGTACTGCATTATCAAAACAAAAGCTGTTTTGACATTATTTTGTTGCTGTCTGTTTTAACACAAAAATCAGGTTAAATGCATCCCCCTTATGCAGAGTTTCGAGTGATTCTCTGACTGGAAGTGTCGATGCTTAGCTTCCCTCGCTATTCCCTAGCGCTCTTTATCCATCCTCCTCACACCCCCTCTGGCTATTCATTGTTCGCCTCTTCCTCAACGCCGTCTCTAATTCACTCTTTCCAACAGGTAGGTAGGCAGAAAACAGGTGGGGAGACAAGGAGTAAATAAGGCAGACAGGCTGTTAGGCAGTCATAGGGACACAAATCGGTCAGCCAGACTGTGTGTTGGTCAGTCAGGCTTTTGGGATAGCCAGTCAGCCGGAGAGCCAGGCAGGTAGGTAGTGAGGAAGGCTGGCTTTTCTCTGTGTGCTGCTGGTTAATGGCATCAGGTGCTGCTGTCTGCAATGATTAGTGCTGGGGCTGGAGTAATGGGCTCTGATAACAGTAATGGATCGGCCCACAAACACTTAGCTCAGTTTACTCTCTCTAATGCCCCTCATGGCCCAACCCTCAGCAGCTGTCTGTCTGTCTCTCTGTTGACACAGGTAACAGAGCTCTACAATTCATGAAATATATTGATTTTTTTTTTCTCCGTTGTCCGAATCTCTGTACTTATCAATTACCACCATTCTATTTTATTTCTTGATCCATTCACAAACAATAAACTAAACAAAACACTACTCATTCACTTTTCACATTTTCTTCCAGACTGCTGCATTTACTCGTTTCTCTTTCTATTCCTCAATCTTTCTCCATCTCATACTGCCTTCTCCTTCCCATCACCTTCTCTTTCTCTTCATAATAACCTCTATGATTAGTTCTTTTTACCTGGCCGTTGTTTCACACTCCTGTCCCTCTCTCTCCCGCCATCTCACTCTCCCTTTCCATCTTGTCTCTTCCTCCTCCCACCGAGGGCTGCCTGAACAGGTGGCTTGTGGCAGGTTGTTGCTGTGCTCTGCTTGTTGGCCTGCAGGAGGCTGCCTACCTGTCTCTGTGTGTGCGAGTCTGCTTATGAATGTGTGTGTGTGTGTGTGTGTGTGTGTGTGTGTGTGTGTGTGTGTGTGTGGGTATATGTGCTTGCAGAGGGTGTAGACGTGTGTAGAGACCTGTCTGTGCATATGATCATGTTTGTGCATGTACATGTGTGGGTGTGTGTGTATGTGTGTTTGTGCTCGTCTGTCCCACTGTAACCCTCGGTAATAGAGCAGGGAATAGGAGAGGAGTTCAGCCAGAGCAGGTGATTAAGAAAAAATTCTGCAAGATGGCGGTGCTGTGGCCGTCAGTGGCCTCCTCTGGGTAAACAAAGGAGGAAAGTGTGGAGAGGAATGAGAGCCTGGTGGCTGCTGCAGAGGACAAGGACAGAGCGGTTTATGACTTTGGGGGATTAACAAGCTGAAGTGGAAACTTTTATAAGTAGAAAAAGAAATAAACTGTTCAGCGGTTGGCTTGGTGGTGGAAATATAGCAGGCCTGGCCATACTGTAGAGACAAGGGGGTAATTGCTGGTATCCATAAAAGTATGTGAATGTGCAAGCACGTGTGCACATACACACGAGGGCACACACTCTGATGCACAGGCATGAATAAGACTAACTCATCCACTGGCAGATGCATTGCCAAGCAGGCTTGGAAAAGAAACAAATCACCTTTTAAAGCTTCCACTGCCCATTAGCAGGATTCATCTGACAAGTGTCTTTTTAGGGAGAATGTGTGTATGCACATAGTAAGTGGTGTGTTCCTGTATGCCAGTGCATGCATATATACATGGGTCTCTCTGTGTGTCTGCTTGTTCATGTGTGCACTTCAGTCTGTGCATTTATAAGAGTGTCTGCACAACTAACATTGGTGAAATCCATATGCAAAATAATTGTTGTTACTGAATCTGTGAAGTACCAGAAGAGTAGTCAAGCAAAACTTAACAACAAATGTGTACAGTAAGTATGTAATTAAGATTTGACCCAGATGTAGCATGAGGGCACATGTACTATAATGTATTAAAAATCTGTTATTGCTTTCATACAATCAGCAGGATAACCAGTTGAACAGAGTGACTGCCTTTAAACTGATGCCTCCATGTCATTATCATCACTGTGTACCTGGCGAAGCCGACTCCTCTGCTGACCCCATTGGCATCCCTCAGTATCCTTGTGGAGATGACGTGACCTAGGGGCTTCAGCATGTTCTCCAGCTCCTGCTCATCCATAGACACCGGCAGGTTGGAGATGTACAGGTTGGTGGGGTCCTGCTCCTGTTGCTGCAGGGCCAGGAGACAGAAGAGCAGGGAGGGCGGGGACGGATAGAGGAGACAGCAGGAAAGGGATAGGAAAAGATAAGAAATAATGTATCACCAGCAGTCGTAGGAATTGTGAAATATGCATCAGCTCTGAGTCGTGAGCCATCACAGAACACGTCACAATGCTGCCAACAGTGGAACCAAACTCTGGCTGAACTCACATGACGTTTGGCCTCATTGACGATCCCACATTAATATGCTCACATGCAATATGGATACATCAATAGTTTACTGTGCCTCTGGTTCTACGAGTGAAATTGTGAGTGTGTAGGCTACATTATGGATTTGTGCTAGTGGACAGTATTAGGAGTCTGACATCTTGTAACATCTTGCACACTGTAAATATTTACAATAGTTTTTACAATAGCCTTTTGGATATAAGTATTAAATTTAAAGAGAATGAGAGACAGAAAAAGAGAATGAGAAGCTGTGTAGTGTGTATTGTACAACAGGATTTTCTCTGTAGTGCCCAGAGGCTGCTGCTAGCTAGGTGAAGCTGCACAGCTGGTGGTGGGTTGAGCCTGAGGTAGCAGAGGGCCCTGTGAGCTCTACAGTAGAACAGCTGGAAACAGCAGCCGAGCCCCACCAGTCAGTCAGTCAGTAAGTCACAGAGCCAGGCAGCCACCATGCAAGTCAACCAGCTATCCATCCATCTATGCTATAAGTCAGTCTCTAATGTGCAGTGTGTACATTAGAATGTTCTTTTCTTACATATCAAATTATATTCAATCCATCCTCCTACCCAGGTACTATTTAATCAGGCAGCCAGCCAGATTCTGATCTGTTACCAGTTCTCATTCATCACATGTTGTCTTTATCCAACATCCAAATGTTTCATCCAACAGCAGCCAGGACAGGTTAACACTAGCAAGAACAAAAGCAATTTACAAAAAGGCATCTATGCTGTGATCTGTGGCCAGCGTAATGTGATGAGTGAATGAATACTGCATTGATAAGATTTACATCCATTCACAGTTGTATACAACAGTAGAATCTGCATTGGTTTTCCCAGCACCCTCAGAGGATGATGTTAATCTTTAAATCTTTAAGATTTGGTGGCAGTATATTTTCAAGCCAGTCAATTGAATCCACTCAGCTGACATTTGTTAATAGATATTGATCTTGTGGATAATTTTGAACGTATCTTATGAAGCTACCATTGTGAACACTTTAAATGTATGTATTTAATGCGGTGAATCCAAAGTAAATTTCCTTCTCAGCCTAAATAACACCCTCTCTTATCAGAAAACTACATTGTAATCTAGTTCAGATCAATAATGTGAGTAGTGGAGGACCTTTGAAAGGAGCATGCCATGTAGAAAGGCAATAATCTGTGTGATGGTTAGGATTTATGTAACAAATAGGGAAGGGTTATGGGTATATTCTGAATAACTACAGCAATTTATCAAGACATGTTTATGTTTAGATATTAATGTTAAAGTTAGTCCATTAGTTCAGGAGTGGCTAAATTAGATTGCCCAAGTCAAATCTCATAAACCTTGTGAACTGGCATCAAGACAAGTGGCACAAGGACAAGTAGAAGAACTAACTGACTTTCCCCCAAAGACAATTAATACATTATGCACACAGCTACAATTTAGAATAATACAGTTTTCTTTCCTAACTCAAAAAGAGCCATGTAATCTGTAATAGCACTACTTTGAATTCAGTTGATTTGGCTTCAAATAAATGCCTCAAAAAGAAGAGCAATGTGAATCTTTTTTAGTGATCTATTTCAGACACATATATGCAGTACTGTAAACAGCAACTTCAATACAGAAGTCTGTCTTCTTCTCAGTCGGGGAGATACTTCAGTTGCAGCCTGCATGTAAACACTGTCTTTGAGAATCTTTACAGTCTCTCACTCTGTCTTGTTTTGCTTTCTGTTGATGGCAGAGGAAGAGGTTAAGAAGGAGGAAGTCTCCCCCCCCCCCATTAATTAGCTGTCTTATCGGACAGGACGCGTTTGATCTTGATTAAAGCATTTGGGTGAAAGCCGGTGCCCGATGTGAAAGCAGGAAAAGCCCAGCTCTTTCTCCTTTAACCAGCAACTCAATTGCCTAACTTTGGGGACAAGCTAAACTCCTCCTTCTTCTGCAGGTTTGTCACATTTACGGGCTTCAGAGCGAGTGAGAAAGGGCTCACAAGCGTTTGTACAACACAGGATTTGGCAGTGAATGAAGCTTAATTAAATCTGCCAGTAAAAATCTACTGTACACGTGTCACTCTCCTGCTAAGTCCCTTTGGTGTGTGTAGCTGTGCAGCTGTGCTTTCCTTTGAGTTTCGTTGGTTATGTGAGGCGATGTTTTTCAGGATTATGTCAAATAGGCTTCGTATTCCAATGCAGACAGGAGGTCTGGATCAAAGAGTTAACTGACTGACTCACTGGCTAAGCCAATGATACGAGAGTTTGTGTGTGTGTGTGTGTGTGTGTGTGTGTGTGTGTGAGAGAGAGAGAGTGGGGATGGGGCACGCTTTTGAATGAAAGCACTTTCTCCAATAAGCATGTGACGGCACACGCGGTGAAAGAGCCCGACAGAACGTGAAGCAGTAATTTGTGTGCATGGGCTAATAGCAGAGGGCTACGTTTGCTGGGGGATTATCACGGGGAGGCCTCGTCTACGCACCGTCGCCTCGCTAAGTTCCCTCTTTGATGACGTTCCGCACCACAAAGCCTTAAATACCCAGATGAGAAGGTTACGGGGACGAGTGGAAATGGAAGCATTTTGACGGGAGGTGAGATGGGCTGGCCCATTCCACGAGGAGATTTAATTTCCTTTAATGTCAACCTTCACACACACTCTGCTGTCAGGCTATGAATGAAGTGGTAATTGAGGTGTGTGTGTGTGTGTGTGTACCTGTGCATATATCCTATCTCGGAGTAATTATGTTCTCTCAAATATATTTATATACACTGTAATGCTATGCATGTTTCCCAGAAGCGACTGCTTCTTGTGTGTGTGTTGGCAGGTGTGTCTGTCCCCTCGCCACTGACCAGTGTTGTAGAAGGCTAATGGAAAGGCTCCAGGCTGCGCTGGGCCTTTGATGAGCATAATTCCTTCACCTTGCCATGAGCAGGACAGGAGGAATCCAACTGTGTGTGTGACAGGAGTGGGGGTGGGGGGCGGCCAATGTGTCATTTCCTGCTGACGGATGGCCCCCTTGCTAGAGCTGACAGCCCGATAGCTGTTATTTCATTTCGACACACTGCTCTGTTTACCTCACTGTAATTTCTGGGAACATTACCATGCTACAGGGGAGGGTGGGTATTAGTATAAAGAAAAAAAGAAGGCGAGGATCTGAGTTAAGCAAAAAAAAAGAAAGAGAGAGAAAATAGGAGTTATAGATCATGGTGCAAGAGGTGAAAGAGTGATAAGGTAAGAAAGAGAAAGATGGAGAGAAAGACGGAGATGGAGGCAGCTGACATGACAGGTAGGTATCACATTAAAGGAAGCCCTTGTTGCCTTTTGACAACGCTTGAGGGAGAAGACACGTCAGATGTTACAAGTCTTGCGTTCCGCCGATGGGGCTCTCAGGGCTGTATCCATTTAACTGATAAAAGTTAGACAGATAGATATGTGTCTTGACTGGGGGCACTGCATCTAACGCCATGGTGAGACTTGGAGCTGCCCGCACGCTCCTGCCAACACTCCTCCTCCTTTACCCCATTCTCTCTCTATTTCTCCGCTTTTCACATTACTGACATCTTAATGGACTCTCTTTCTCCAACTCTTCTTTTTGTCAACACTTTAATTTCTTACTCACTTCCGCACCCTACCGCTGTCTCTTTTCCACTCCTCCTACTACTTCTCTTATGTTTTTCATCAATCCATCCCTGCTTGTCCTTACCACCAACTATGGTCATCTCCCATCCCTTCCACCCTTTAGCCTTGTTTCTTTCTCCTCTCTTCCTCTTCTCTATCCATTCAGCTTACTCAAGAGATTAGAGTTATAGGTGTAATTGGCTCTACAGGGCTTCTCAGCTGCTCCTCTAAGCATCAGTACACACTCGACGAGGGTGTGTGCATGTGTATGAGTGTATAAGCCAATCCTTGGTTTGACACCACAGTATTTACTTCCCTCAGGTATGCCACTCTTGCTTGTTGTGTGACTAACCAGCAGCTTGAAGGAGCACAATTAAAGCAAAAGACAATGGGGTTCCGTGTTGTCTGTTTGGAGAAAACTGCAAGGAAGCAGTAGTTGCTGTGTTGCTGCTGCTGTGAGGGTGTCTTGCTGACAAGTTTGCAGATGCCAGAGGGAGCGTTCCTGTGCTCCTTGTATATAGGTTGAGGAGCTGCACTCAGATCTTGCTGTGGGAGCCTGAGTCTGCAAAATGCATTCAAAAGACAAGCAGGCCAACCAAGTGGAGGGAAAGAGTAGGAGGAAGTGGGATCGGGGAGTTGGAGAGGGGAGAAGCATATGAGCGCATCAACTCACTTCAAAAGCTTGAGTTTAATTTGTGAGGAGCCAGAAAATGTGGAGACACAAAGGTAGCACTACAAAGGAGCCATCATTCTGTCAGCCGGCTAGTCAGCTGGTCAGACAACAGCAGGCAAAGTCAGGCGGGCAGCTTACTGCCCTTTGATGAGCGCTTCCCAACATTTTCTGTTGCCACTGATGAGCGGATGGCAGCATCACTCTGCTTTTCCCTTTGTAGAGGCTGTTGTCAAACACTTCTTCAACACTCTGCTATTCTGTCTGTTATCAAGCCGCTCTGTGACACTTGACTTCAAACCCCACCCGCATCCAAGACTTAACATTACAGTGTGTCCACATCACAACCTGTCTCTGTCCACTGCAGCCGTAAACAGGAGATACGCACAACGCAGCTGTTAGCAGAGCAAAGCTGCAGGAGACTTGAAAAAGTCAGGTTCAAAATATTTTTTCTACAGTGGCTACATGTGTTCAGCAAAGTCAGATTCTACAGACAGATGGGGGCAACTTATTAGCTTGACCTCTCT